CCCCGGAAAATCCAAATTGGCACAACAAGTGAAAATTGAATTAAAGGAAGGAGTAAAACCGGTTAGGATCAAACAATACCCAATTAAACCTGAGGCAAAACAGGGAATTAAAAAGCTGATTGACAAATTCTTGAAATATAAGATTTTAGAAGAATGTGAGTCAGAATATAATACCCCTATTTTACCAGTCCGAAAGCCCACAGGTGAGTACAGATTAGTACAGGATTTGAGAGCTATAAATCAAATGGTAAAGGACATTCACCTGGTAGTGGCAAATCCATATACCTTACTGACAGCTCTTAAATATCAGTGGTTTACAGTGCTTGATTTGAAAGATGCTTTCTTTTGCATACCCCTGGAACATACCCACAAACAGGGCGTAAAGTACAGTTAACCTGGACACGACTGCCCCAAGGATTTAAGAACAGCCCAACAATCTTCGGTAGTCAACTAGCCAAAGAACTAGAGATATGGACAAATGAAAAGACAGTGACTCCGCGACCAGAACACCTACTCTTACAATATGTGGATGGCATCTTAATAGCTACAGAAGAAAAGACAGCCTGTATACAGGTAACCATTGAACTTTTAAATTTTTGGGGGGACTTAATGGGTATAAGGTGTCTAAGAAGAAAGCCCAAATAGCAAGCCAAACTGGGATATAGACTTTGAAATTTCAAAAGGGCAAAGAAGATTGGGGACTGATCGAAAGGAAGCAATCTGGGCTATTCTGGAACCTTGGACTGTACATGAATTAAGAGCTTTCCTGGGAATGGCCGGGTGGTGTCGTCTCTGGATTATGGATTATGGTCTTTTGGTCAAGCCATTATACGAGGCCCAAAAATCCACCCCTTTCATATGGGGTAAACAAAACAGGAGGCCTTTCAAAAGCTTAAGCGAGCTTTAATGACAGCACCAGCTCTAGGATTATCTGATTTAACTAAAGATTTCCAGTTGTTTGTTCATGAAAGGCAGCACCTTGCCCTGGGGGTCCTAACCCAGAGGATGGGAAGCTGGAAGAGACCTGTCAGGTACTTTTCTAAACAACTGGACATGGTGAGCAGAGGATGGCCTTCCTGCTTGCGGGCAGTAGCGGCAACAATAATATTGATACAAGAAGTCAGAAAACTCACCTTGGGAAGAACCATTACGGTCTATGTTCCGCATATGGTTGCTACAGTGCTGGAACAAAAAGGGGGGTGTTGGCTGTCCCCTATCCGAATGATGAAATATCAGGTAATCCTTACAGAGCAAGAGGATGTGATTCTGAAAACAACTAATCTTGTAAATCCTGCAGTTTTTCTGAGTGCTTCACAGGAGGAAGAACAACCTGAACATGATTGTATAACGACTACTGAACATACATACTCTCGTTGAGAAGATTTGAAGGATGTCCCCCCCAAAGATCCTGAATGGGAGCTGTTTACAGATGGCAGCAGCTTTGTACAGAATGGAACTCACTACGCAGGATATGCGGTAACAACTGACAGTACTGTGGTAGAGGCAAATGTACTGCCCAACGCTACATCAGCACAGAAAGCAGAATTAATTGCCTTAACACGAGCATTGTAACACGAGCATTGGAATTAAGTAGGGAAAGAAAGTGAACATCTGGACAGATTCAAAATATGCTTTTGGAGTGGTTCATGTCCATGGAGCATTATGGAAAGAACGAGGACTATTGTCCTCCCAGGGAGCAAATATTAAGCATCAGAAGGAAATTTTACAGATGTTATTGGCGGTTCAGGAACCGGCTCAAATAGCGATCATGCACTGTAAAGCACATCAATCTAAAAATACAAAAATAGCAGGAGGAAATAGGTTAGCAGATCAAGCTGCCAAGGAAGCGACTCATCAGCTGAGTGTTACAAATAGCTTACAAATGTGTTGTTGGCTCATCAGTGAGTGTTACAAATGGTTACAGTTCCTACCAGAACTGTAACCCTCCCAAAGGAACCACCAGAATACTCGAAGGAAGATGAGAAGTTAGCTCAATTTTTAAATGCAAAGAAAAGTTTAGAAGGATGGTGGACAACCTCTGAAGGTCAGGTGGTTGTGCCCCCATTAATTACGAGGGAAATACTACAAGTAAAACATCAGGCATGCCATTGGGGTGTAGAAGCCCTGGTGACATTCCTGAAGAGGCACATAGTATCGGTAAGGATGTTAGAGATGGCTAAATCGGTTGCTGCAAAATGCGAAGTATGTTTAAAGAACAATCCAGTGGTACAAAAGAGAGTTCAAATGGGCAAATTGAAAGTAGGGGTAGAACCTGGTGACTATTGGCAAACTGATTTTACAAAATTACCCAAATGTAAAGGATATCGGTATGTTTTGGTTGGGGTTGATACCTTTTCTGGATGGCCAGAAGCCCTTCCCTGTCGCACAAATCAAGCTAAAGAAACAGTTAAATGGCTTTTACAAGAGACAATTCCAAGATTTGGAGTGCCTATTGGAATATCATCAGATAGAGGTCCACATTTTGTAGCCACTGTGGTGCAGGACATAAGCAAAGCCCTAGGGATATCCTGGGATTTGCATGCTTCCTGGAGACCACAGTCCAGTGGAAAAGTAGAGAAGATGAATCAGACTTTAAAAAGACAAATTAGTAAGATATGTCAAGAAACTAAATTGAAGTGGCCTCAGGCACTCCCATTAGCATTGTTGCATATTAGGGTGAAGCCCCGAAGTGGGATGTTAGTCAGCCCCTATGAATTGATGTACGGAAAACCATATGAGACACCTGAACCTAATCCAAATATGCATATAACAGGAAAACAAGATGTATATAATTATTTGCTTTCTCTTGGGAAAACTTTAGCTAAACTCCGGAGTGCAGTAGTGTGGAATCGACCCCTGGCTCTGGACAATCCAGTACACAACTTTCAACCTGGAGGCTCTGTCTACATAAAGACCTGGGCAACGGAACCCTTACAAGAGAAGTGGAAGGGACCCTACCAAGTTCTCTTAACCACATTCACTGCAATTAAGATGGCTGAATCAGATGCTTGGACCCATTACACCAGAGTGAAGAAAGCACCATCTGCAAAGTGGAGAGTGATTGGAAATCCAGAGACTTTAAAATTGACTTTGAAGCATGAATAGTTGTCTAAAACTTGTCTTTTTGTTAGTCTTGCAGTCTAAGATGGTGGAAGCGTGGACAAAGGAAAAATCGTTGTCAGACCAAGCACAGGTGACTAATGACACTCAGACTCAAATCCACAATGTGAATGACTGGTGGGTAGGAGTAGACAGACAATTACAGGTAAGAGATGAAATTTTAATAAGAAAAGAAAGGGATGTAGAAGAAAGGGACACAGAACAAGTAATATCGGTACCAGGTAAAACTCAGGAGGAGAATTTGATGATAGGTTTAGAAGGAGTTTGCAAATTTACAAAATGTATCACAAATCACTGCCTGTTTACCAATACCACGGGCAGTTGGAGAATCTATCCCATGGGGAATTTTGACACTGAATATGACTACTGTAGAAGAAAGGAATGAGACTACCCATTGTAGGCAGAAGCCTGTAGTTGGATAGCAGGAGAGGGTAGAGACCATTAAGAGACAATGGGAATCCCCAGGGAACAAAGCAGATTGTGTAAAACTGTGGAATTATCAATATATCCCAATAGGGAGATTTAAAGGTGTTGGGTGGTGCAGCTATGATGAGCCTGTAAAGCAGAATGTATCAACAATGACCATGAAATGGGAATGCGAACAGACAAAACAACAATCAAGGAATGAACAGCAGTGGGATTCTATATGGTCTATGAGTATACGCCTACAGTTCCAATATATGGCAAAGGCCCCATGGTGTTTTGCATGGGAGGGATTAGAATTCACAGTAGATCCAACTGTAGTGGATAGGAGTACCACTACCAGAGAAAAAGAGGAGGTAGTCCCTTGGTGGCAGTGTGAACAGATATATAATTGCAGTACAGTAACCCAAGCGATCCAGCGTATACCTCCTTTGGCAGCAGCTTTAAAATTTGGTTGTTTATGTCGGGGATTGAAAAATGTCTTAAATGTGACCAGACTTTGGAAAGTCAGCTGCCAAAGGTACATGATCCCAAGTCCCGGACATTTAGTCTGGGCAATGAGTGACGGAACCTGGGCATCCCATTTACCAATAGATGGAAAAGTTAAACAAATTACCCTAGGACTGCCTACATTATGCCCAATTTGGAAGAAATCTCCTTTTAGAGGAAGTCAGGAAAATTTGTACCTGGCACGAGTGAAGAGATCAGAGCTGGATGAAGATGATGCTTGGAATGATCCAGGGATGGGAGTGAAAATTGGTTAGGCATTGGAATCCCTCCTAAATCCCATAGCCTCCTATAGAAATAGAGCGTGGTTATACCGATTGACTGGACAGATTGAACGATTGGCAAATGTGACACGTAGAGGATTTACACAACTGAATATACAGCTGCAGGCTACATCAAGGATGGCCATACAGAACAGAATGGCACTAGATATGTTATTGCTAAAAGAGCATGGTGTATGTGGAGTTCTGAAAGGCAAAGTAGATCATCGCTGTATACACATTCCAAATGTCACTGAAGATGTAGAGCATGATTTAGATTTGTTGGGAAAGATAGAAAAGGAAACACATAAAATTAAAGAAGATATGTCAGAAAATTGGATAGGAAAAATTATCAGTGGAATGGGATTGAGTCTGAGTTCATGGATAAAGTCGCTAATTGAAACTTTACTCATTTTGACATTGGTGTTCATAGTGCTTGGTTTAACCTATCATTGTTTGAGATGAGAACTGACCCGGAAAACAGAGTTTAATCGAATGATCATACAGGCAGAAGCAAGACAACGGGCCCGACCATCATATGACTATTTGGCATACAATGAGACTACAATTTGAATATGTGAAAGTATTGAATATGATTATCAATACTTTCAAAGGTGGGAAATGTTGCAAATACCTTAATAATATAGTTTGAATCCTAGAATATTATTCCGATTTTAGTTTATAAAAAAAAAAAAAAAAAAAAAAAAAAGACTTTGATTTAAAATGGAGTTATAGCAGCTGTGACAATATAAGGTATGTTGAGGCCCTTAGGAACAGATAACTAGTATGGTGTTTGCTTTAATCACTATAGGAGTCGTTATGGACTCTGAATCAAAACAATGGGTACTGATTATGGATCTTGAGTTAAAATGACTATGCAACCATGACTATGTAACCATGACTATGTAACCATGACTCTGCTGAAAAAGTGTATAAATATGTGGTGTTTTGTATCTGTCGATGAACACGTCTTTGGCGGAGTTATCCCCCATGTTCCCCAGCGCTGGAATAAAGAAGTGCCTGCTTATCTGCTGTGTGTAGGTAAGTTCTATTCACGATTGCGACCGCTAACACTTTCACTAAGCAAAGCCTGCCAACTAGCATACTGATAAATACTTTCTAAGGGAAATAATTAGACTAAGCATGCTACAAACACATTTGGACATACTTTCTGCAATCCCTGTTTACACAAATGAGAAACAAAGCAGGGATGTAATTTGAATAGGGTTCACATCAAGAACTGTCTGGAAATTATTACTCAACAAAATTTTATGAGTTGGACTGTTGTCAGAGTGCTGCTAAACGATCTTTGATAATTTATTACAGAACTAGCATTCCTTTCACTGAACATCTGAACTTCCAGGGAAGTTAAACTTTTACAAGACAACTGATACTCAAAACCGGCTGAATCTGAAGATATTGGTAGCAAGAGTGAGAAGGTTCTCCTCCCACCACAGCTTCCAATTAACTACAGACATCGGAAGTGATTACTCACTATCTGCACAAGGACTGCTGCTCAATGGATACCACCCGATTCCCTTGTCTCCACTGCTGTGAAAATATGCCTTACCCAGAAGAGAAATAAAGGTGTCAATGTCAGCTTTAGTTTCAAAACTTTGGAGTCAGCTACACAAGATACCATTTTATCAAATTGATTTAAAAAACGCCTGTTAAGTGTTTTGGTAGTGCAAGCCATTCTCTGGTTCCTCATTTATTCTTAAATAAAGCAGTCTCCAACAACATTTTGGAAAGAATTTACACACATCTTTAAATACCACTGCAGAAGACAGAAGGTAAAGCACGATAACATCCTTCAGTCTGGGTATGTGACATTCATACTTGTCAGATATTTTCAAGACAGCTTCAACAATTAACCATCATCATCTACCAACCATTTACAGTTTTTGTATTCTGATAAAAGATAAAGCACCTTATCGACACTCTCCTGCAGGTTCATCTCCAGTTTGCTCTTCTGGGCTTGAATACCTTCCAGCATCTCCTGGAGCTCATCTCTCTCCTGTGCTAACAAGTCCCACTGCTCCTCCCACTGTTGAAGTTTACTGCTTTCGCTCTCAGTTTTTTCTTTCAGTTCTCCCAGCAGCTGGTGCCTTTCCTTAGTTACCAAATTTAAGTCCTCATTCAACTTGACTACCTATTAGAAACATAGTTTTTAAAAGTATAAAACCTACATTTTATAAAATACAGAATTCTATATTAAATAATATAGAATAGTATAAGCATAACTATTAGCAAAAACTCTTCTGTTGCTAAATTGTATTACCGTGACATCATCTATTCGTCCAATAAAACAGCCAAAATCATCCTGGGTAAATGCCTGTTACTCTAATAAACCCTTGAGGGGACTCCCTCTAAATTATTTTTAAGAGTTTTTTACTATACTTGCCTTTTCTTTTGTTTGTTTATTTCTTCATTTAGTTTTTCTTCAGTGTTTTGCCATTTCTCATCTCCATCTGTTAACATGTTCTTCTGGATATCAGCTTGCTCTTTCTGATGCCTTAGTTCTTCCTGTAGGTTTTCCATTTCTGTCAGAACTTTTAAGGACTACAAAACAAGGTATTACATGGATGTTCGCTCAGTACGACCAAGTTTTGCTTATCAGCAGTTAAGAATGATAAGTCAGAGCATTTGAACTTCCGGAGAGAACTATCAGAATAATCAGTCTTTTACTTTAGGAAAAAAACTAGTTGTCATTCTCCCATGCCTAGTTTAACAACACCAAAGGAAGGCAATCTTTAGGAATAGTCTATCCTTTAAAAAAAATAAAAAAAAGGAAATAGGCAGAAATAAAGAGGAAACAGAAAAGTGGTGTGGGGGGAACAGATTATGTATGTGACTACTTAAAAAGCAACAAACCCAAAACAAAAACCACACCACCACACCATGAAAGACACCCTTATTCTTGTCACAGCTGCAACCACTTACATGAACAATGTGTCCAATTGTTTAGTAACAAGATGTCAACCTAAAACTAAGCATTTGATAATCCCAATTGGCTGGTTTTTAAATCAGTTGGTCTATACATACCTAAGAGTGGTTCTACCTGAGGTTTGCCAAAATTTATACAAAAGCTTTTACGTTTCTTAAAATAGTTTGCAGAGCTTCTCTTAGGAAAAAAAAAAAAAAAAAAACAAAAAACAAACAACACACTATTAACCAGATTCCCTTTCAATTTCAGAAGTTATCAGCTTAATTTTTATTTAACTGTATATCAGAACAAATTTGTCTGAAATAGCGTGTCAACATATGCATATTTTCATAAAAATACTTTGAATACTGAAATCACTACTCTGCTAGGAAGTCAGGCACCAGGAAGGAGAACTAGGATAGCTCATCAGTTTCTTTTCTGGGTTTAGCTTTCTCTTTGTCAATCCAGATGGAGCTGAAGTGGCAGGAGAATTAAACCCTTAGATATGAGCAAACCTGGATTACCTCTGCTGTTCAGCACTAAATGCAAAGGGACTGCACGTGAAAGATGTAACAGGCATTTGTGGAAGGTTTGTCCAGCAGGTGACAGAGAACTATGCCCAAACCCAGAGCAGCACAGGGACCAAAAGGGCAGGAAGAGGATAGGGGGGAATTAAAAAAAAAAAAAAAAAAAAAAAAAAAGAGATGGATTCCAAAATCCGAATTGGATTAGTAAACAAATTTTTAGTTTACTGTTGCTATGAACAAGTGAAGGGAGAGGAAGAGATAGTGGAAGCGGAACTTCGTGGCCAAAATTCAGAGTGGTACAACCTAATTACAAATTAAATACACATTAAGTAATTGTTGTAAAGAGATTTTATACATACTCTCTCCTTGCTTTCCAGACAGTCAGCCTCTAACTGATCTCTTTCTGCTTTACAAGTCTCTACCATTTGCTGTAGCTCATCTTTCTCCTCATCAAGTAAAGCTATTTTGTCAAGTTGCTGACAGATGTGGTCATTCATTGTTTTTTCAATTTCTTCTTTTTCTGACAGTAGCTTGTCGTATTCAGAAGAGACATGAGTCAGGTTTTCAGTTACTTCAGTGAGCTGAAAGAACAAATAAGAACCAACATTAACATTTCTAATAATCTCTAGCATGGATAGAAGTAATTTGATAGTTAGTTTGGGGAAAAAAAAAAAAAAAAACAAACAGTAACAGTCTAATTTATTAAATTCTGTATTTCCAGTAATCAGGTTCCAATTTAAGAAGTGTTATGGGATCATATTTCACAAGCACTATCTGTACCTATGGGTTATAAGTGGATTATTCTACAGAAGACACCTCCATTAGTTTACTGCTACAGGAAAAGAAAGATCTGACGACTTTGCTTAAAAGTCAATCCAATTTCAGTGCATCTGTCTCACTGGTAGACAAAACTGAGTGTGCAAAAGCCTATAGGCCATTATAATTCCATAAAAATGACTCCATTGCTGTAACCACAGCAGACAGGCTTGATTCTAACAAATGTTAATATCTTCTAAATAGCTTCAAGACATGAAAATAATAAGTAGGCAAGAAATTTATAATAGTGCAGCAAGTTAAATAAGCTAAACTGTCATTTAGATGCTCAAGTGTCTTCAAAGTTACACAGCTAAAAGACATAATTAGAATTTTAAAAGGCTTAAGATTTGGGAAAGGCACTGAGATCAAAGAGCAGTACTCCAAATAATATTCCACCGTTCGGTACTAAGGCATGTTCAGTAACGAGTAAGTGAGGGCTGCAGCTTGCAGGTCAAATTGCATTTGACCACCTTTTCACTGCCTCTGTTTCTACAGAATTATTTTCTGAAGCAATACAGGAAAAAAAAAAAAAAAAAAAAAAAGGAAAAAAAACTTTTAATGAAGTTTCGTTATTCCATTTACTGAACTCTTACAGACTGAGGTCTGCAGAAGACACAGGTTGCCAATCCTGATGGAATTTTTAGTTTACTTGACAGAACTGCATCTGACCTCCTGCTGCAGTTCGTCAGTTGTTTCCTTCAATGCCTCTTGCGCTTCTAAGAGTTGATATTCTTTCTCTGAAATACTTTCTTTCAGCTCCACAATAGTCTCCTGATGTTGTCTGAGAGAGCAATGAGCACATTTCAACTCCTCCTGCATCTCTGAATTCTTTGGACACAACACAGTTAGAGTACATTAAAGTCTGAACAACACTTCCAAAATTGCAGACAGACATTTACCAAAGCTATTCTCTTAAAGGAACGGGACTACTTTTCTTACCTTGCTAATCGTCTCCTGTATGGTTTCTCTTAACTGCTCTCTCTCATTTTGGAGATTCTCTAGTTGTATTGTAAGATTACCATCTCCACTTTCTGTCAGAGTGCTTGCTTCCCAACATTCAGGCAATTTTGGAATAAAATTGCTTCTCTCCAGTTTTTCAGATTCTCTTTGACATTCATTGGCCTTTACTTCCTCCATTTCATGCCATTTCCTTTTTGCCTGGCTCAGCTCTTCTCTCAGAAGAAATAGTTCTTGCTCAGTAGATTCTTCTTGAATCTGAGGGATCTATTTTATTCAGAGATATAAGTCAACACATTTGGGGAAGTAGCTTTAAGGGAAAGATACCTGACCTTCAGCAGGTTGACTATATAAAACGAACAGAAGCAGTGTTTTAAAGAAGCAATGTTTTGGAGATATTGATATTTTTTTCCAGAATAATAAGATTCACCTGAACTAATTTCAAGAAACTTGACCTGCATATTAAGAGACGTGTAAAGGTAAAATCTTAAGTGGGAGGAACTCCTGAAACAAGTTACTAGAAGTAGAATTTCATGGCCATAGCTTAAGTCTGAGGGGGGGAAAGAAAACCCACAGCCCAAACTAAACAAAGACACCCCCAACAAAAAAACCCACACCACAAATCAAACTAGAGAGGCCTTATCCCTATTTCTAAGCTCAATAGTAGATAATAATGGTGTCAAGACAGTTATTGCCTTGAAACTTGCCCACTCCCCCCCGTAAATATTAAAATACGCACACGTACTTCACTTTTTCTGAAGTGTGTGCATACACACACACGCTTTGCACATATACATGTAACACACAAATCCACCTGTCAAATTACAGAAAACGTTGGCTGCAATGTCCCTTTCGCTGCAAGGACAAAAAGTCAGTTCCACCTGTGCTTTGAAAAAGCAGACCCACGTGGTCCAGACGAGCCATTTTTAGCTTTCACTACTTAAAGAACCACATCTCTGTACAGATCAACTCAGAACATCACTATCTTGTATCAAATTAAAATTCTATTTACAGAAAAACGGTTCTCATGTTCTACTACTATTTGTCCATGCACAACAATATGGGTGGAATCTATTTCAAGTAAACAACAATAATCCTGGTGTTAATCATCTGCAGACATGTAGCAGTGATACAGGGCCTAGATAGGAACAGGGGATGTAAGGGTTAATGTGGGAATAGCAAGAAGGGGATGAGGAGGGAAATAGTCGAGATAAGAGTTTGCCTAGCTTGTATGAGGTGTTTGTGTTGCTCCCACTATCTCCTGTTTAAGTAAAAAGACTCCTCCACCCCTGAGTAAGCGAAGATTACCCCACAACCGGCACAAACCTGCTCTGTGGGTCCAGGGGGTGACAGAGACTGCGCAGGAATTCGGGGTGAAAATTTCAGCACTGAGGAAGAGGAGATACTTCCTCCCACGACCACCGCCCAGTCCTTCACGACCCCTGCCCAGGACCAAAGGAACTCACTGCGCAGACTCAACTGGGAGGAGACCATGGAAATGCTAATTTTAATACGAAGCGGGGATAGGTGATGCATATGTATAGGCGTATTGCGAAATATTATGAATATGTAATCATTTGCTCTATAAATCTAAGGCAACGGTGCCACATGGCAGCACACACATTCGGAGGAGCGATCCCCTGTGTGCCCAGCGCTGAATAAACATACCTACTTTACAAGTCTATCAGATTGTGGAAGTCTGTTTTCCGCACGTCAATGATCTACTGAGTTTGGCCTTGGATAGGGTTGGTTCTGGTCTTCTAGGTCTTTTTCTAAAGAAACATTTTCTGTGTATATGTTTCTGGTATTAATAACATATTTTGGTTGCTCCTTGATGGAAGTATAAACCCATTATTAAGTATATTAGTAGCAGTAGTAGCTAGACCTCTTCAGGATTAAAGAGTTCAAACAGAAAAACTTGACTGTGAATGGGAATTGTTTAAAAACACTTTAGCAAATGCTTGGCAGCACATACAATGATTGAGAGAGTTGCCTGAGGACTGGAGGAAAGCAGAGGTCACTCCTAACTTCAAGAAGGCCAAGAAGGAGGACCCAGGGAACTACAGGCCTGTCAGCCTCATGGCAAGGTGAGGGAGCAGCTACTCCTGGAAATCCTTTCCAGGCACATTAAGGACAAGAAAATCATCAGGAGTAGTCAGCATGGCTTCACCAAGGGGACATCATGCTTGACCAACCTGATAGAATCCTATGATGAAATGACTGGCCTGGTAGATGACAGGAGAGTAGTTATTTGTCTACCTGGACTTTGGTAAGCCCTTTGACACTATATCCCGTAAGATTGCTATAGAAAAGCTGATGAAGTGTGGACTGCATGAGCAGACAGTGAACTTGATTAAAAACTGGCTGAATGGCCAGGCTCAGAATTTCAGTTGGAGCAGTGTACTCTTGGGGTCAATACTGGGTCCAGTCCTGTTCAACATCTTTGTTAATGATCTGGATGATGTTCACCCTCATCAAGTTTGCTGAGGACACAAAACTGTGAGGAGTGGTTGATATGTCAGAGGTCATGCTGTCATCCAGGTGGACCTCAGCAGTCTGGAGAAATGGGCTGACAGGAACCTGTTAGGCAATGGGTGCTCACTGAAACACAGGAGGTTCCATCTGAACATGAGGGAAAACTTTTTCACTGTGATGCTGATTGAGTACTGGCACAGGTTGCCCAGGGAAGTTGTGGAGTATCAACTTGGAGAGGAGAAAGAACCAGGGAGGTTGTTGAGTACATGGAGCTCTCTGCTCTGGACACAGTCCTGGTCAGCCTGCTGTAGGTGACCCTACCTGAGCAAGGCAAGATAACCTCCAGCAGCCCTGTCAACCTCAACCATTATGTGATTCTGTAAATCACAATCTAACCAATATAGAAAAATTCTAAGGAAAGGATACAGGGCTTCATTTATCTATGCACAGAAATCATAAGGAAAATACAACCAAAAAGGAAAACAAACAAACAAACAAAAAAGCAGGTTTGGTTGTTTTGTTTTGGTTTGGTTTTTTTTTTAAGAGGTGAGAGGAGATGAGGAGCAAAAGGACTGCTATGTACAATGTTGAAATTGCCAATCATGTAAAAAAGACAAAAATATAGTGTTAGGAAAACAAACAAGACTGCATACTCAAATCCCAAAGAGGCAACAAACCAATTTACATTCAAATAAAAACTGAGGAAGATGTTGAATAGACACTAACAAGGCTAGACAGTTTCAAACCAGCAGGGCAACCTGTATCTGAGAAGGTCTTTGAACATTGCTATTGATGATTTTCAATAACTCTTGAAACACCATGGAAATTCCAAAAGACTGAAAGAAAGTACGGTGTGTAGATACTGAAGAAGATGACCTGCATAATTACAAGCTGCTTCAACTAACACTGCTGCTAGACAAAATAATAGAACCTGATTAATAAAAAATTAAAGCAGGTAAATGTAATTAGTGCAAATAAAAATAGCTCAAATTAGTGCATATAAAAAATAGATTTTGTCAAATTGTTCTGATTTTTGAAGGTGTTTTTTTTTTTTTTTCTGAGATGAGAAAATTGTATCATCAAATTTGCATATATATGCATTTATATCTGTTTCTGCATAGACTGTAATAGCATGCATTTCAAATTCTGAAAGCATTTGATTGGCAGTGCACTCTGTTTTAACCAAGATAAAAAATTATTATAAATGTGACACACTAAATATCACAAAATGTAACTGTAACAAAGGAAATTAGTGATCTCCAGTGAGAACCAGCGGAAATCTGATTTTCAACCCTTTGTTATTTAGCATCTTTATTATTTGAACTGCAGAAAAATGCATACTCTTTGAAGTGGAAGATGACCTGAAATTGACGTTAACACATATCACAAGCTTGGGACATCTAGGTCATCTGGTGAAAGGAAACATCAGGCATTTTAATGTAGCCATGTGTAAAGTCATAAACCTAGGATAAAGAATATAGTTCCAGAGTGAGACATTCAGTGCTGTGAGGAAATCTGTCAAAAGCTTGATAGGTACGTTAGTCAGAAAAGGAAGACAAAAGAAAGTGTACCCCCCTGATAAATGAGACAGCACATCTGATAACAAGTGACATGGAGAAGGGTGAGGTACTCAACAAATTTCTTTCCTCAAGTATTCACTGGCAGTTGCATTCCCCACATCTCTCAAGCCCTTGAATCTCGAGGCAGAGACGGGAGAAATTAAGTCCACCCACTGTAGGAGAAGACCTGGTTCAAGACCATCTGAGGAATCTCAACATACACAAGTCCATGGGACTTGATGAGATGCATTCCAGGGTCCTGAGGGTTTTGGCAGATGTAGTGGCTAAGATGCTCTCCATCACATCTGAAAAGTCATGACAGTCAAGCAAAGTCCCCAGTGACTGGAAAAGAGGAAACATTGCACCCATTTTTAAAAAGTGTGAAAATTAATACTTTGAGAACTACCAATCAGTCAGTCTCACCTCTGTGCCTGGGAAGATCATGGAACAGATTCCCCTAGAAGCTATGTCAAAGCATATGGATGACAGAGAGGTGATCAGAGGAAGCCAACATGTTTTCACCAAGGACAAATTGTGCCTGGCAAATCTGATGGCTTTCTACAATGAAGCAACTGCCTTGGTGGATAAAGGAAGAGCCACTGATGTAATCGACTTGGACTTTTGTGAGGCCATTGACACAGATCCACACGACACCCTTGTCTCTGAATTAAAGAGGTATAGGTTTGATGGATGGACTGTTAGATAGATAAGGATTAGCTGGATAGCCATGCCCATGCAGTCAATGGCTCAATGTCCAAATGGAGATCAGTAATGAGTAGTGTCCTTCAGGGGTCTCTACTGGGACAGGTACTGTTAAATATCTTTATTAACAACATAGGCAGTGGGAATGAGCACACCCTTAGCAAGTTTGTGGATTACACCAAGTTGAGTGGTGCAGTTGATATGCCTGAGGGAAGAGGTGTCATCCAGAGGGACCTAGACAGGCTTGAGGAGTAGTCCCATGTGACCCCCATGAAGTTCATCAAGGCCAAGTGTAAGGTCCTACACCTGGGTCAGGGCAATCCCCGGTAGCTCTACCGACTGGGTGATGAATGGAATTGAGAGCAGCCCTGTGGAGAAGGACCTGGGGGTATTGGCAGATGAAAAATTAGGTATGAGCCAGCAACATGTGCTTGCATCCCAGAAAGCCAATCACACCATGGGCTGCATAAAAAGAAGTGTGGCCAGTGGGTTGGGGGGGGGGGTGCTGGTGGGGGTTTCCCCTTCTATTTTGCTCTTGTGAGATTCCTTCCCTGCAGTGCTGTGTCCAGCTCTGGGGCCCCCAACATCAGAGGGACATGGACCTGCTCCAGTGGATCCAGAAGAGGCTACCACAAATGGTCAGAGGGCTTCTCCCTTCCATAAAGAAAGGCTGAGAGAGTTGGGTTTTTTTATCCTGGAGAAAAGAAGGCTCTGGAGAAACTTTATTGCAGACTTCCCATATGTAAAAGGGGCTTACAAGAAAGATAGAGAAAGCCTTTTTACCAGGGTGTGTAGTGCTATGATGGGGGTACTGGCTTCAAACTAAAAGCTGGTAGATTTAGATTAGACAGAAGAAATAAATTCTGGCCCAGGGTGCCCAGAGCAGCTGTGGGTGCCCCCTCCCTGGAAGGGTTCAAGGCCAGGTTGGACGGGGCTGGGAGCCCCCTGGGCTGGGGGAAGGGGGCCCTGCCCCGGGGCAAGGGGGGTGGGACTGGGGGGGCTTTAAGGTCCCTTCTAACCCAAACCATCCTGTGGTTTGCTGATTCTGATGTGTAAAGGAGATGAAGATATTAGCACAACCTACCATATCACCGTAGCTGGCTTTAGTGATCCTTTTTGGCCTTATAAGATATGAATATGTAGATTTGGGACCATAATTCACTCACAGCATTCCTTTGACACAATTTTTTTCCGTATGTATAATATATGTGCATTGCACTGACCTGAAATCTAAAAGTGCATATTTTATGCATAAACAGAGTTAATTAAAGCATTCCTTATAATGATATTCTAATAATTGGTTTTAGAAAAAATTAATCGTAACTTCATTCATAATATTTGATTATCTGATTTAACATGCCAGGATTATGGCACAGCAATTAAGT